TCCTTCTGCCTTGTGTAGATATGTTTGAGGGATTTGTGTAAATGAAATGCGTCAGTGTCATGTAAGTAAATGTGATGTTAACCAAATAATGAAAGGGGTCCATAGGTCATGTTTAAAAGAGTTTATGAGGGGGTGGGCATTAGGTTGAGAACAGAGTCTTGTCTTTGATCTACCACCTCCACCCTCTTGTATTGTAAAAAGTAAAGAGTCCATGGTGGAAAAAATTTCATTTTGTTTCGATTTAGGTGTTTTTGAGTTTCAATTAGCGGCTTATCAAGGGAATCTGTACAAATTAAAGTTGCTGTTGAGTCGATCCGAGAACAGCCATTTACGGTGTAAATATACCATCTGTGCTTAATTTATCTTCTGCTTTACATCGGTTGCATTGCTTTTTCTGATTCTTGATCTGTTGAAACCCGAAGAGTTTCATGATGAGTGATGCACACACTTTGCCTAAGCATCACGCCACATTGTGCTTTGCCAAGCTTTTCTGCCTTTATCCCTGTTGAGGATTCAGTAGCTTTATGATTGTTTTCATTTTGGTTTGTGGACGAGTGCGTTTGAATCACTGGAATGGGTAATAAATGCTTTTCTAAAAAGCAGCCTCAAAGGGCTTTCATCTTACGATAATGTCTCTTTTATTCGAAATGGAGAGCATCTATATATGCCAACCTTCGCCCTTTTTAATCCTGTGGCTGAAGCTGCAGAGAGTGGACCTGTGGACCTGGTTTTGGAAAGCCCAGTTGAAGCCAATTGAGGCTTTGATTGGAGCAGAATATTTTGCTTGGGAAGAAAGAAGGATGGTGGTAATCTTGATGGGATATTTTGAAGCAGCAGCATGGTGATATATGTTGTGTGGCTATTGGTTGAACATGAGCTTAAGAAATTGACTCTGGGCTTTTTCCTTTCTTGTTGGCTTAAGAAAGAGGTTGGGTCGTTGTATACTATGCACTGCATCCCAACAAAGCTACGTGATGTCCTGTTATTAAGCAGGCAGGCAGACGAATATTAAATAATCCTAACCCAGGCAGGCACATGGTTTGCACGAACTGCATTGTTCTCTCTTTTATGCCGAGATTTTTTCGGGGTTCATTATATTTGTCAAATTTATTTGTCAGGTTTCAAGCATTAAATAATATAAACAAATCTCGTTTACTTGGATCAACTGAGTGAGACACTGACATATATGATCAAAAATTTGACGAGTCAAACAAAATTGATGCATCTTTTAATTATTTTTGATGCGGGTAACGGGTTGTTTAAAACACAAAAGGGAAGATTCATATCCATAATCCATTCATAAATTGTGTGTCCTGAATGTAACATGTGCATCAAGCTTTGGCTTGTCTGTTCTCTATTCCCCGTATCAGATGGGATTGCAGATAACTTTTACTATTGACTGAAAAGAAGGTCTAAAATATCGATGGTATCGGAAATATCGGAAGTCCAAAAATATGGAAATGTCGATGGAAATATCGGGATATTATCGGTATCGGTAAAAATTGAACAAAAACCACGAAAATTGTAAGAAAAACTTGGAAATTTTTATTGAAACTTTGCAGGATGTTTATTTAGTCAATTATCTATTAGTTTATCACAAAAAATTGGAAGGAAATGCATTGCATGATGGATTTAACTTATTTAAGTTGATTATATAGCGAGTTGGCAAACACTGTAAGTGTAGAAAATATATAGTAATTAATGAAAGAAGATTAAATACACCATAATCATTTTATATATATAATGAATTACTACAATATTTTACACTTTATACATTGCATGGTAAGATACATGAGTGACTTAGTACCACATAGAGTTCCTATGAGGTTCAAAATTTTCACTATATTCATCATCTCTATGTGTAGAGTAAGTATATTGTGAAGAGTAATCATCAAATGATAAATCCCCAAAATAGTTTTGCATGTAATTGTTAACATTCCACCCATATGGATCCGAGATTGGTTGACGTTGTCCATAAACAAAATCATTTGAAGATTGAATCTCGGATTCTTTCCATGAGTCGCTTGATTCCATCCCAACAGGAATGGGATATGAAGGGTAGGGAAATGGTTGGTTATGAGTATAACCATAGTTACTACTCATCTCATGTGAAAATTTATTTCTTGCAAAAAGAATTCAAAACAAAACCATGTATATATATAAATATTTTAGCATATTTTCACAAAAACATAAGTGATATGGTGGTTAAGGTGTTGAATGAGTAAAATATAAATATTTTTGGGTTTCGTATCGCGATATTATCAGGATATTATCGATAATATCACGATATATTGTCTACATCATTCATAAAAATGTTAATATTATCAATAAAAATATCGATATATTGACGATAACACCATGGTTTATTGCGAAAATATCAACTCCTAAAAATCCGATATTATCAAGATAATATTGACATTTAATACCTTGACTGAAAGACATTGAAGAAGATAAGAATATCCACGGGGTCCTCTAAGAAACAACCAAATTGGTTGGAAACTGGAGAATCTGTCATCAGATCCAATCCAATATCAATAGCTACATAAATATTTGTCATACAGCCAAATATAATAATTAAACTCTACATGAGGATGACATCATTGGTTAGCTCAACATTTGATTACTCATCCAAAATTAACCAACCCATTCGGTGCACTTGTTTAGGCGGTGGACGCCTAACAGCAAATACTAGGTTGTCTTTTCCATTTTGAATGACAGTGTGGCCGGTGGACGCCAATCCTCTACTCATATCGGCAAGCCTTATTCTTGTTTTTTTTGTTCGAAATTATATCTCATTTCATTAAACGCCAAATAGGCAAATGTACAAAGCACAAACCAATGGCACAATAATAGAACCGTAACACAACCGGGACAGAACATCTAAACGCATTCTTTAAACATCACAATATGAGACTATAGCCTGTGTTCAGATTTTTTTCCTTTTTTTATTTTTTTAATCATTCGTTTTCATTTTCCCCTCTCTTAAGTAATTTCAAGTGCACACTCCTAAAATAGTAGGCTGTCTCATAAATATCTTTCGGTTATGTGTTGTTTTCACTACAATTATCTTTCGGTTAACTTTTTAAACTAAAAAATCAGCCACCGGATAGAATTTGAAGGAGTTGGAATCTCTCCACTTTGTTTCTCTTTTATAGATTCTTTTCTTTTTTAACAATTAGTTTTCGAAAATTATAGCCTAACCCAATACCAAACGCATAGAATCTGTAGGAGTTAGGTAGAGTTGGCTTTACCCAAATTCCAAAGTCTACTCAAAGTTATGGGTTTGAACTTTGATTAGCAATCATAAAGAAAAATAAATAAATAAATAATGTTTTGTTTGATGGGATGGACTCCAAAAAATGAGTCGGCTAAAGAAGACACAGCCATCCATCGATGTTGAAGGATAAGTATATATATGCATGGTGCCACTAGCAAAGATGCAAGAGGATGAGATGGTTTTCTTTCATTGTCATAAATAAACAGAAAGACCAGTCTTTACTCTTTAGCCCAAGTCCAAGTTTGTGTGTTATTTCAATTCAACTTGCAGCCTTAGGTTAGGCCAAGCCAAAGCCAAGGGACCAGTCGGTCAGCTACCATTCATCCAACTTCTAACCTATCAATTTACAACACAAGTGGAGCCTTTTTGTTTCCCTTTTGCTGCCCGCCAACACAAATGTAGCTTTTTGCTTTGCTAACACAAGCATCTTTTATTCCACCATATAATCTTAAACAAATTTCTGGGAAACTGTCAAATTGACAGAGGATCACTGACTGACTTCCCGAATTTAAAGAAAAATATCAGAAAAAATCTTTGGAAATATACCTATTGTTATTTATATTTTCTAAATTTGGAATTTGAAGAAGATGTTAAAATAATATTTGTAACATACAGAAAAAGATGGCCCCATACAAATAACCAAACAAAACCAAACTGCTTCGTGTCAATCTAGTTGCTTGCCCAGTTGCCCTTTTGGATGTGAGGTAAGAGAAAGCGATTAAAACCACAACTTGGCCTTTTGGTAGCTCCTAGGGTATGCTTCGAAAAAGACAGGGCAGAGGCACGTGAACACGGTTCCACAAAATAAAAAAGAGAGAAAAAATCACAGCTGCTCTTCTCACAAGCCTCATATTATGAATTAAAAAGCAGTCCAAATTCCTAAACAACCGTCTGTTCCCAACCTTATATAAGCACCACCACTATCAATATCTTCTTACCGTCTCCTTCACGAAGCTTAGATATTTTTTTCGTTTAGCTCTCTGCTTATATATATTATATATATATATATGAACAACCCAGCTCTGTTTTTCTGAGAGAATTGAAGATCCAAGAGAAATGAAGAGGCAAGGACGTGTGGATGTTGGTGGTGCCACCATGGATCAAGGATCAAGGTTTGACGGTACAACAGCAACAACAACAACAACAACAATGACGATGACAATAGCAAGCAAGAAGGCTAAGAAAACGATTGACAAGGCTGCAGGGAAAGAAGATGTGAGGATCGACGGTGGAGATCATCAGTTGGGTTTGGTGGCCGCTGAGAATTTGATGCCCGGGGAGGAGAATTACTGGGGTTGTTTGAGTGGTGCTGTGGTGGATGAGCAAATGTCATGGGGTTCAATTTGGATGCCATTTTGGGATGTGGAGTTCATGGGCGAAGCTCATTATGGCTTGTTCAGTGATGTGATTTGGGATGATGACATTTGGGGGTTAAGAACCACCAAAGAGGTACCGAATCCGTGAGAGAAAGACAGAGAAATTTGTATTTATCTTGTTCAACTTTTTGTGTAAGAAATTTATACAAGAAATTAGTCATTTTCGTTCCGACTTGGCTTTACACAGGCCATCCAATTGTAATCTTTGTGTTGCAGACCATGCAAATACGTGTTTGATAATAATATATATAGCAGCTAAGTCTGAAACGAAATTGATTGATTAAATTCGAAAACTTGAAATCAGAAATTAACATGGCATGTATATGTAAGGTCGATCAACACATCTCTGTTCACATCTAAATCAATTCACAGATTAAACGGAGGTTTACAAGAAGAGAAATTACAGAGTCAAAAGGAAAAAAAGGGAAGCAAGAAAACGAATTGAAAGTAAAATTGAAGTAAAGCCGGATAGCTAGGGTAGCCTCAAACTTGGAAACCAGGGGGCTTGTAAGCGATGAAACTAACGCACTGTGTCTGGCGGACGTTGTCGAATCCGATGATCCTGATGAATGCATTGGGGTAAGTGGTACTGGCCTCGTCAAGCTCCTTCAACACCTGAGAAGAATCAGTGCAACCGAACAAGGGAAGCTTCCACATTGTCCAGTAACGGCCATCATAGTACCCTGGGGAATTGCCGTTCTCACGGTGAACGAAAGGGTTCTGCATTACACACATCCATCAAACATATAAAACAACGTCATGTCATTGTCAGCTCTTTCAATTTCATCAACAACCTTAATTTCTTCACTTCACTCAATAATATCCATACCATACATCATTACATGAACATGTTTTTATGTTTTTGTGTTTTTGGGCATGCCCTGCCTGCAGGGCAGCTCTGTTATTCAATACATGTCATGCTTCATGTTACATACCCCAATAATTTTAGTACTTCATTACAATTTGCCCTTCTGTAAAATCAGGTTTAAATATTTGGAAATTTAGACTAGTAGCTGTGATTAAAAAGTTTATTTTTTTAAAAAAAAAAGGAGTAAGATTAGGTTTAATGTTGAGGGCCCAGTTTAGAAAAAAAACTGTATTGATTAAGAAAACAAAATTAGGTATATAGTAGTAAGATTATAGATTAATTAATTACCCCCAACTCAAATTCCAAGGTGGGAACCCAGTTGTTGCGGAGAAGATAATCTACTTCCTTGGCCAATGACTCGGCAGATAGGGGAGGAAGGTAAGAGAGAGTCTCGAACTTCTTCAATCCAATTGTAGGCCACACCTGCATAAATAAATATAATATAATGTCTCTTTATTTATAGTTTAACTTGATGATCTATTTATAGCTTAACTTGATGAACTAGCGTACGTACCTGCATGCACTGAACTCTTCCACCATTGCTGGAGATAGAGGTAATATCATTGTTGGCCTTGCGGGTGACAGGGAAGGCAGAGGCTGACTTGAGCCCAGTGAAAGGCGCAACCATGCTGGCCTGAGCAGGGGAGCTGGTCCGGTGAACTACAGCTGCTGATGAAACCATGGAGGAAGCCATTTTCCTCTGTTTCTTGTTTGATATATGAAGGCTTGATCATGTTTGTTCGTCGTCTGTGTATATATAGGAAATAATGTCACTGCTAAATTTGCCTGTGTTACCTTACCCCCCCC